TGAAGCACTGGATAAAAAATTAAAAAACATAAGACTTCTTATTGGCATTGCAGTACGTATCATCGTTTTTCTAATCATTAATTCATGCTTTGTTTATTACGGTCTGGTTGACACTATACAATGGAGACAGACTAGATATTTCCAAATAACTGACATGTTTATTTGATAGCATACAGATAAGTATTTAAAAGAACATTGCTCTGGCTTAGCTTATGTGATGATCATGAAGTTCCTAGTGAAAAACTAATAGCAATTAGCAATGTTGTCTGTAAGCGATAAAATGTATAAAAAACCACTAGGAAGTTATCATGTTTAATGTCCAATATCTTTTGAATTGAACCTGTGCTTTATATGACATTAAATCTAGATATCATATAAATACTGTTAAAAATCTATCATATGGCACAGAGCTGCAATTCGGGCAGTGCAGGGCATTTCTAACTTTCAGCACTATACTAATATGGGGATTGTCTTTTGCTACTTGATACACACTACACCGAGAATTCAGTGAATGTGCTTTATCAAAAATATTTAATGGTAAGTGGTTACCGTCTTAACCCATAGACATCAAATACTTGTTAAGATCAGTTTTTATGTACATTTTGTTAACGGATATCGATGGTGCGATTTAATTTTTGCAACTAGCGCCATCTATTGATGACGTTTAAATAAAGTTGCATCTATTGCTAACCTAATACGAACCTTAACACATATGTACGTAAGGACCGTTTGAAAGTTTTCTGAATGGCTTCGTGCGAGGCGGGGCAGTCGTTCGCGGCCGCCACCCAGGACGGATCCGTATTCGTGCTCAGGTAGTCAGGTAGGTTATTTTTTTTCTATAAGGCGTTTATTGACCAGGTAACTCAGACCTTTAAGTCATGTCTTATTTCAATTTATCTTCTTATTTTTATAAAAAATGATAATATGGAGTGAAATGAAATGAAAATGATTAATTTGATACATTAATGAACTGGGATGAAATGAAATGAAATGAGATGTTACTAGAATAGGTAGAAAAAAAAAACTAACGACCCTCAATTTAACAGCCAGGGCAGCCAAAATTTTTCATAATCGTGCTTGTAATTATGTATATTGCAATTTATTTACTAGCCCGGTGACGCTGATATGGTATCTCTAGACCAGTGGTTCCCAAACATATTTTGTCTACTGTCTACTTTGGGAATAAATTATTTTTTGGCGCCCCCATTTTTTCACCTACTTAAAAACAACTATAGCGAGAGCTTAGTCGGTGTCTAAGAGTCATCCTAGATGAAATTACAAATCGCCTCCCAAGCCTCTACAAATCGTCCCCATTTTTTTTCTAGGTCTTTTACCGCCCCCTTTTAATCCTGCAGCGCCCACAAGGGGGCGTTGTCGCCCACTTTGGGAAAGGCTGGTCTATACCATGCGGTTCATGCCACCCACATGTGTTCGCGATCCTTTACTGACTTTGTAGGCAGACGAGGGCATTGCCTGATAGCAAGTGGTTACCATCGCTTATGGATATCAGCAATACTAAGGATACAGCCAAACCGATGGCTTCTACTGAAGTCTCTCCTCCTTTTTTCCTTCCTCTTCTTTTTTCATTCATCATTAACAGCCTATTTTAGTGCACTGTTGGATATAGGTCTCCCAAGGCACACTACGCAACCAGATCTTGGGCCTCTAGTCTCCTTGCATTGCTCGCTATTTTGTGTATAGCATCGCTCCACCTTGTTACAGGGCTTCTTGCACTACGTATACCGGTCCCGCGATCTCTACTCCACAACTAGTTAGTAGTAACTAGTACCACAACGGCTCTTTCACAAATATGACCCGCTCATTGCCAGTATAACTTGCTTATGCGTTAAGTTATGTCTCGTCTGAAGTCGTCGTGGCCTAAAGGATAAGACGACCGGTGCATTTGTATCTAGCGATGCAACGGTGTTTGAATCCCGCAGACGGGTACCAATTTTTCTAATGAAATACGTACTTAGCAAATGTTCACGACTGACTTCCACGGTGAAGGAATAGCATCGTGTAATAAAAATCAAACCGGCAAGTTTATATTTTGCGTAATTATTGGTGGTAGGACTTCTTGTGAATCCGCACGGGTATGAACCACCCTACCTATTTCTGCTGTGAAGCAATAATGAGTTTCGGTTTGAAGGGTGGGGCAGTCGTTGTAACTATACTGAGACCTTGAAACTTATATCTCAAGGTGGGTGGCGCATTTACGTTGTAGATGTCTATGGACTCCAGTAACCACTTAACAAGCAGTTGGGCTGTGAGCTCCTCCAACCCATTACAGCAATAAAAAAAGAAAGGCTTCTCTGACGAATAACTTCGTTCCGGATGTGATCTCTTAGAGATACACCGTAGTTCGTTCCATAGCTTGCTAAGTGACTAAGCTTTCGGACCAGCCCTAGCGTAAGTTTCCACTTCTCAGCCCCGTAGGTCAGAGACAATTCGACGAAGCTTACCAAAAGCCGGCCTGACGGGCTGTCGTACCGAGACGGCCGACGTAGAGTCGTCGTCTATAGCCTCGATGACCCGTCGCTCAGCCGTCCTAGGGGTGGCGCTGCGATTCTGGTTGTAGTGTGTATCGCGGGAATCTCCTGCTCCACAAAGAATTCATTCAATAGTTGTATGACTCGAGACAAAGAAGATTTCTAGAAAAGCATTCCGGTGCTGTGGTTCTAGAAAGTATCGATAAATTCTGCTCTAACAATAGCCAGTGCGATGATAATAAGGATATAAAGTTTTCGTATCGCACAGTTTTTCAAAAAACTCAGTTACGTAATGTCTTTCTCGAAAGAGCAAGCTCTGTACTTTCATCCCACCCATACCAGTGATGACACTATTCTGTAGGAAAGTCGTGACTAATATTTTACTGCCGAGAAATTTGACGAGCGTACCGGCACTGGTACCATCGCTCATGACAATCAACATTCTAAAGACAAAACAAAGCTCAGTCTGCTATGTAATGGCAACAAGGAAATAATAATTATGATTCTCTAAAAAAATCTCTGAGCACTGTCCACAGAAAAAATTGTCTAATCGTAATCATAAGAATCGAGTACTTTTGTAGAATCTTTGTATTTGAAAACAGACTGGATTAAAAATCGAATTGGAAACGAAAAAAGGAAATTTTTCACCAAGAGAGTGTTTTTGTTCGCTAGGTTGACGGTCAGATTTGTTTATTATTATTATTATTTTCACTTAAAAATGTTAATATCGCGATTTAGGTTTTACAATTCTATGAAAGCTATCCATTCAGAACAACAGAGCAATAAAATTAAGTTATATTTTTTATAAATTACACCGGCCGACATCATTTTCCTTGTTCAAGTTCTGATTACTTTTTTCCACTAATTTGGTAGTGCTGATCACGAAATTATACCTCATTTTATCGTATCACATAAGGTTTTAAAAAAAATTAAGACATTGGCTATTTTAAATTTTTTGATTAAAATAAATTAAATTTTAGATTTTGGCGCTCTTTTCTCGAATCGTGCGACCTCTCGTGAGGAAATATATTAGTTGCAACAACGACACACCCATTCGAAACAGGTTACATGCAAATAAACCTCTACAGTTACTTTGTTCATAAACTTTTTACTGAAATTAGTGTGTTTATTTAAAAAAAATCTTACGTTACGTACTTATATATTTATTTTTACTTATATACAAAATTTCCATGCTTCTTGTGCGTGTGGGACAGTATAGCACGAGACAAGCACTACGTTCAAAAATAATGGAATCCTCGTAAAAATCTCAAAGTAGAAACAAAAAACGTTATACGAAAAAATTTAATTAGTCCTGAAAAAATTTTACTACCTCCGCTTCATATCAAACTCGGTATGATGAAACAGTTCGTTAAAGCATTGGATAAAAACAATGCTAGTTTTGAATACCTGTGTAAAAAAAATACAAGATTATCTGATGCAAAAATTAAAGAAGGAGTGTTCGATGGACCGCAAATCAGATCTTTGATGGCTGATGAAAAATTTGATGCCACAATGAATAACACTGAATCAGATGCTTGGCTGGCGTTCAGAGATGTTGTCAACAATTTTCTAGGAAATAATAAACATCCCTACTATAAAAATAAGGTTGCAAACTTATTGGATAAGTATCAAAAATTAGGGTGTAATATGAGCATAAAACTCCACTTTCTAGATTCACATGTGGACTTTTTTCCTGATAATCTTGGTGATTACAGTAAAGAGCAGGGAGAAAGGTTTCATCAGGACATAAAAACTGTGGAGACAAGGTACCAAGGTCGATGGAATGTGAATATGATGGCTGATTACTGCTGGTCACTGACACGTGATATTACTGAAGATACTCACAAAAAAAACTCACAAAAAAACTACACCCAGACGTAATTTTGTCACGAAACGTAAAAGATGTCACTCTAAATAGTCCTGCAGCATTGTTTAGACTCAATGTTTTCTTTGTAAATGTTCAAATATATGTTTTTGTAATATGATTATTAATTTTTTCGTTAAATTTTGAAAAAAATGCTTTTTCCTTCTTTTAAAAAAATCTGATGTGATAGGACAAATATGTAGGTGTTTTTGTGTTTAAAATAGTATAAATTGGTGATAATTGTGGCTCAAACACAAACAACTTTCAAAAAATTTTCATTTGTCGGCCGGTGTTATGTAATGGTTTAATCTCTCGGGTTTTTTATTGTTTTTAGTGTGTATTTAATAATACGTACTACCTTCAATTTGTTAATTTTGTACTTTCCTAGTGTCTTACGTAGTCTTTAATATAATTAATAACGTGAACATACAAACGTCACAAAAGGAATAGGAATGTATGTAAGAAGAAGTAAAGAGAATATTCGCAACGATATATTTATATTGGTCATGCGTGGTCATATTCTTCTTATCTGCCTTGATAAAGGGATGTCGCTGTTCGCAACATGATGTTACTTTTCAAGTACGTTGTTAAAATATCGATTAAAAGCGTTCACCACGCTCGAAGCAACAGTTGGGAGGAATCAACAGGCGAGAACGCGCGGCAATACGCATCGCGCTCTATTTGAAAACGGATCGTTTTTTTCTGTTCGTAGTATTACAAAAATGAATATTCAAAATAAAGCCAACAAATACGTGTGCCCCAATGATCGACAGCTGTCACTTAGAGCCAAGTAAGTAATTCGTTTTTTTTTTTTGTTTATCAAAGTTTTTCGGTGCCGACCGGTGTTTGATTAATATTTTCGAACTTTGCTTTAATCAAGATAAGCTTGAATCTTTATTAACAAAGTTTCCCTCGTTGAGCATAGTAATCGTTTAAAGTAATTTTAACTGTAATTAGTAGGTTTGAAACTTTATCATAAATTTACTTAATTTGACAGATATAAAGAGTTTTATTAATATTAATAACATTGAAGTTGTAGCAGATAATTCGCAATCAGACAATTTAAGGTACTTTATTAGTCTAATTTTTTCTCTCTCATAAATATTGATTTAAATTTATCTCGATCTAGAGAGATTAAAAATTAATAGAATGAACCTGAATTATACAATACATGAACATTAACGTGAAAATTTTGCATTATATTTAAGGTATAATTTAAATGATATTGTACATAATGCATAAATTGAAGGTACATATTTTTATAGAGATTATTATCATTGCAACTTAATACTCAAAGTTTTTGAATTTGTACCTTTTTTGTTATTGGGATTTATTCTGTTTAGTTACTATCGGAAAATGTTTTTTATTTTTAATATTAGTAAAATTTCTGTAATGTTTGGTACACAATCGAGTGGTGCATAATTTACATACAGTTGAAAAATAATAAACATGTAATTACATAATAACTTGGCATATTTTCTTCACTTTATTTTTTTTACTTTTTTCCCTACCTATGCTGATAGCCTTGAGAGGCTATTTCAGCTTCACTTTATAATCGCACATCATACTTCGCTTTTTCGGTTTACTTAATTCTGTAGGTACCTTTATTTCTGCGACTTTAACGACAGAAATTTGCAGGGAGGTGGTAGCTAGAAGGCTATTCCAGCTACGCCCAGACGTATAAGTGACGGGTGTTACTGGTGGTAGGGCCTCTTGTGAGTCCGCAGGTGGGCTGTGAGCTCGTCCACCCAACTAAGCAATAAAAAGTAAATAAATAAAGTGAGCTCTCGGGCTCAACCTGAGAGAATTTGCTGACAATAGCCCTAGCAAGAGCAATGCTTCGCAGAATCTACAACCGGATTAGAATCGCGATTCACTGAGAAGATCCGGCTAAAGCTCAGCGGGCTGTGTATGGGTTAGTAGCCCATCGAATTCTTCGTCATAATCGATGAGTTCCGAGGACGGTGACCGTTGCTTAAGACACCTAAAAGCACCGAGAGTGGATCCGGAGGATCCGACAAGACATATTTCGGGTGACGGTGGTTTTGCGTCGCCCCGTCGCCTGAGTCAGATAGGATAGCTACCCCTGCGGGCTTACTATACCAACAAGCAGTTACGCCAAATATAATTTTGCCGAGCATGATTTTTATTACACAATATTATTCCTTCATCGTCGTAGTCATTCGTGAATGTGTTATGTATATAATATATTTTATATTTTTTTTAAAGTACCTTCCAACGGGATTTTAGTACAGTGGGCGTCTTATCTTTTAGACCACTACGACTTCTGCTGGTGGCGCAGATATGCTGGCTATTATCTTGGTTTTTAAATGGTAGATAAGTAGCTTTATTAATTAGGTATGTAACTTCAAGTTATATTTAGTGACGAAGCTTTAATTTTTACCTTATTATTCGAAACACAAGGTCGAATATAAGCCGTCTCAACTATAAACCCTTGTGAAGGCTCAAATTACCGACCTACTGGTAATATCATCTAAGCTTCTCGTATTTCTAGCTTGATGAGATAAAAAACGAGTATAAAGATTATTATTATTCCTTTGAAATTCAATAAATTTTGTTTTCTTTAAAGAAAGCTTATGTTTACTATTATTGTCGAAAGTAAGGGCGTTAACACTCCATCTATTAATTGCACTGTAATGATCGTATCCTAAAGTAATGTACACTAATTTTTTGTTTTTTACAACATGAAAATTGTAGTTGTCGTAACTAATTGCATTATCCCATAGTATCTTTTACGGCTTTTGCGAGTTGTAGACATAATTAAAACTAGGTACTCTTAAGGTTTTATCGGGCGTTGATTATTTTCATTTTATTATTCCTTACGTTTCGAATAGTCCACAATTTTCGTGATCACGGATGACTGATTATATAAATATATATGACATAGTCGTCTATTCACTTTCAGACACAAAACTTACTAGCAAGTTCACTCTATAGGTCTTACTACTCGTTACCTAATTATTCTCCACCTTCGGCAGTATTTAGTGCTTAACTTATCCTCCTCCTCGCGTCGTTTTCCTCATTACTGAGGGTCTTGACTCCCCCCCTGCATCAGTTTCTCCCGTACGATTTCCCTCCATCTGCTGCGATCCTTGGCTTCATGAAGGGCATTGTGGAAGTTGATGTTTAGAGAAGATCGTATTTGGTCCGACCATCTCGTGGGACTGCGTCCTCTGGGACGTTTGCCATCTACCTTTCCTGTCACCATCAGCTGTTCAAGATTGTGACCCTCTTTACGAGCAATATGTCCGAAGAATTCCAGCACCCTACGAAGGCATATAGCTGAACTTATAGGCATGTTTAAATTTGTTATCCATAGACAAATTCCGAACCTCCATCATAAACATGCGAAACGTAATCTTTACGAGCTTCCGACAAGATTGACGTCACCACATCAAAAGCATATTAAAAACGTAACATAAAACTATAACCAAACACCCTGATCGTAGTTTATCACTAAAATCGATACAAGGTACTAGTGAACCTTTAAAATAATACTCTTTTTTTCTTCTAAAAATAGCCAGGTTCACGGCTGTACACATGCATCAATATAACCTTGCGTTTCCTACGTCGCTATCTCCCCTATGTACGTCCGCTTCCGGTGTATTACGTTCGATTGTTGGTACTTTTTACAGATAGTGGTTGAACAAAAGAATGAATCACAATTCCTAACTAATAATAATATAGTTTAGAACTAATATACCTCATCCCACGGATGGCTTTGAACTTCAAGGACTAAAGAGCTAGTATAGTTATCTCTGTCTGTTGTATCGTATTATGTTCAAAGGTCAGAGTTTTGACAAAATCAAGTCTTCTTCATTTTACCTTCGCACCAGACACCACCAAAGCAGAGTTACTGTAGATTATTTTTGTAACCTACCGACCGGCTCAGGTATAAATTTCCCTCCGAAGAGTGTTGTTTTTGGAACAAGATTTAAAAAAATGCATGCCCCTGGCATTGTTGATGACTATAATATAAAAATTCATATTTCCTAACCATAAATAATCTATATATTCCCTAACCCTTCTATGATACTAAATACCTGCATATTAAATTATTTCTCAGTTGGAAGTTATTTTCCTATTCCGTGATAATTTACTATTTATGAAAAGCTTAAATTGCTATTTATTTTATTTCCCTTGTAGACAGACGAGTTACCGGCCCACATGATGGTGAATGGTTACCGTCGCTCGCGGACAATTGTAAAGCTCCGCCCTTCCAAAAAGCTAGCGACCCACTGACAGATCCTTCATTCAGGGTTTAATTGGAAAAAAAAGTTTTTTTTACCGATAATCTCATTGAAAATCGGTCTTCCAGTGCAAACGTTAAATGTATATTTCCACACAGACCTACAAACGAACAGTTTTGCAAATTAAAAAAAAACCTAGTCACAATTTAAAAATACATGACAATAAACACAAAAGCTTATTTCGTTCATGCATTCAGATAAAGTTGCGCTTATCAGAACAAACTTTACTCGTACCTACAGCAGGATGAAAATTTATATATTACTTTGCCATACGAATTAATGTAGTTCTAAAGTTTTTAAACGCAATTCTACAGTTTATTCTATTTTTCTAACGTCTTCCATTTCAACTGCACACAAAGTCCTGGAAAAATTCCTAACCATACACGGACAAGCGACAATGATCGTTCTTTTTTTAAACGTAAATGATTGTGAATGATTGTAAGTAATTGTAAACAATTGTAAATGATTGTAAAGATTTGTAAATGATTGTAAATGATTGTACCGAATGTTCCATCGGGAGTGTTCCGAGAAATTACTCTTAATGTAACCAGAGTCCAGTTCAGCTCTGAAATGAGCTTCCTTTACACAGTATTTGCTGAACGCTACTCCATTGCCATCTTCGAGCCAGGTTTCAGAGGATTCCTTCGCGGTAGGCAGAGACTTGAGCGTGTCCCTGGAATTAAAAGTCTTACATGAACAGACGGAGCAATAAGAAAGACTGCATCTTAATGTTGTAGACATAATTTCAAAATACTTATAATTTGTTATTCTCGACTTTACTACGGATGGGTACCAGGAGCGTGGGGCGTCCTCCAACCAGGTGGACCGACGACCTAGTGCGCACGGCGGGAAGTCGTTGGATGCGGAAAGCGGAGGATCGCATTATGTGGAAGGCATTGGGGAAGGCCTATGTCCAGCAGTGGGCAGATAAAGGCTGATGATGATGATGATGATGACTTTACTATATACGTTTTATTATTTCCGACATTTAGAATACTTTACAGTTTTCGTGCTCTCCGACGTCTGAGAGTTTATTTTAGTTCATGTTAAACTTTTTCGCCTATAGAAAATGGCCGTTCTTTTTAATATAATATCGCTTATAAACTTACTTAATATTTATTTCCATGTATATTATAATCTATATAATTGTCTAATATATAATATAATAATCTAATTTAATTATACGATAAGATGAAACATGTAATGCCATTAACACGAACATCGAAACGAGTTACAGTTTCATGAAAAAAAAACAATACCACTCTGTGAATTGTCAACTGTCGTTTAAAAAATATTTAAGTGGAATTTCAGTTAACATTCCATTCATTCCGAGAAAACGTCAAATAATTCCGCTCTACCGACATCTATACCATTAATTAATCATCAAGTTTAATTAACATAGATAAAGCCAATGATGAAGATAAAAGTAAATAATTAGTGAAGCCTTGAACTATTTTAACGAGCGCTGTGAAAATTGCTAATTTCTATGAAGCTTAGATTTATTGAAATCGAAATGTTC